TTTCTCTTTATACATACATATATATATATATATATATTTCATTTGCTTCCCATTGTTATCAGTGAAAGGATTCTTTTTAACACTATGAGGTTTTGGACAGGTGAGGGTGCGCCTTACGGGGTGGACATCAACACTGGTGGAATAGCAGATTCATTTGCAAACTTTGTCTGGGAGCCATCAGTTGTAAAGGTGGCTTGACAAATTTCAAACTAACAATTGCTTATTTAATGATGTCCTTTTTAGTTTTTTGCTAATCTTAACTGCATGAATTTTGTGCCTCTGGTATCTAAAACGTTTGCTGACAGATCAATGCCATCAATGCTGCAACTGAGGCTGCTTGTCTTATTTTAAGTGTGGATGAGACTGTAAAGAATCCCAAGGTAATACCATGCTGTTCCCTGTCTAAGAAGTTATATGCATGATTTTTATATTTTGTGGTGTCATTTTTTCCTGTCAATATGATCTATTTACTCTATATTGCTCAAGTGTTTGTGGACAAAAATGCTTTGAAAATTCAGAATTTGGTCCCTTTATGGTGATCATAAATCCCCCCCTCTTCTTTTGTAAAGTTTTGTAGGTCAAAATTTTAATGGGTTATTGGGCCCCACACTTTGGGTCAAATTTTATTAGTAGGAATTTTTTGATAATTGTTCTTGAGGAAGGGTACAAGTGCAATATACAATCAAACACCAAAGGCAATCTATAGTTTAAATTTGGCTGCTAACAAATAGAGCAACATAATCTGAATTTATTGTGAACTACTGTGGAGGAGGGCCCTCATGCTTCATTTCGTTGTTCAAATATGTTAGAAAACTAACAAACATTTTATATAAAATTTTGTGGTATTTGGAATTTGTCCAAATGTCAAACCCATGTTAAATCAAGCCTCATAATTCAGGAAGACTTTTTCTGTTCTTGAACTGCTTAATAAGGCAAATGGAACTGTGAATCCGTAGCTACTAGAGCTTGATTGGATTAAGGCAAGATGATCATTATCTAATACAAGGAGCTCAACTCTCTACTCAGCTTGAGCTCAAATTCAAAACATAAAATGAATTTAAAAACATGCAACCAAATATAATATATAATTTGTGAGTGTATCAAATATCAGAAAGTATTAAGCTTGGAAGCCACTTGAGTCGAGTATTGAAAAACTCAAACTTGGTTGGAGTTGTTACTTGAGCAATTGGAGCTTGAGCCTGAGGTTGACAATGAACTAGTGTAGCTCTGAGTATTGATAGATCCAAGCCCAAGTAGCTCATGAGTGACTTGCTTATACTCTTAAGTGGAGATGAGAAATTTCATGATAACCAAAAGTAGATGAAGATTACATTCAGATTTTGCTCTCAAACTCTCAAACTCTCAAAAGTCTCTAGTATTTTTGTAGCCAAAACTAGACTTGAGATTGCAAATGAGATTTGTCTCAAAATTGAGAAATCTCATTTTATTTATCTTTTTTTTTTGCTCTTTCCCAGGTGCATTTAATGACTCTTAAACTATTGAATTCTACTCTAGTATGGGTTTCAATGGCCACCTAGAGGTGGAGATTTTTGGAAGTTTGTGATTGAAAATTCAACTTGATAATCCACATCGCTTTCTTTTCCGCTTTTCTCCTAATATGACACTTTTGCTCTCATTTGTTCTATTTTTACATGTTAAAGGCTCATTAATGGCATTTTGGGGAGAGCAAAAATAATGAGATATAGAGAGAAATCTCATTTATGGTCTTGGGTTTGTTTTCAAGCAGAAAAGAATCGAGAGATTGAGAGCCAGAGCTCTTGGGGTTTAGGGTATCATGATTGTCGAATTAGTTTCGATGATCAAACGTTGATGTAATCTTCATCATCTCTTGATTATGGTAAAAATTTCTTGTTGTCTTACCTGTGGATACAGCTTTTGTGTCCAACCGCATAAATCCATGTGTCATTGGATTTTATTTTCGCATATTAGTTTTTAGTTTGTGTTTGCTTAATTGTTCTTTGAATTTATTCACATGATAATGACTTGGTTCAGTCAAATCTATAACAAAATTGAAATGTGTTACAAGAAAAATATATCAAAATGTGTCAATGCCTTACCTGGTACTTGCTGAAGAACAATTGTGCTTTTATTGTCTATTTTAGGATTTATATTTGATACGCTAACAGTGTGTAAGGTAACCATAAAATGTCACCTCATTAATAAGCAAAATTAAAAGTTTATAGGTTCTTAAAAATAAACATCAATAACTTTTTAATGTTTAATTAAATAAAAAATTAAAAATTATTTGACGTTTTCTCCAAAACTCTATGGCGGCGTCACTATCAAAACCCTCTCATGTTCTTCCCCTGCAGACAGGCATTGTTCTCGTCCATTAATCTTCTATCTATAAATCTTTGCAGCCCACCACCTTACAATCAAACAAACAAAAACCCATTATTTCTTATGTTCTTTCCTGGACTATCCACAAAAAAAAATCTCTCTAAATCTTAACTCTTTTTATTGTTTGTTCTTCTTTCTATTGATATGATCTTATCACAGTAAACCCAAAAATTAAAAAAGAATGGATCTGGATAGACCCCATCGAAGTGTTAGCATCAACAACAGCAGCAGTAGTAACGCAACAAGCATAATGAGTGAGCTTTTCATTTGTTTCACTTCACGCCTTTCTTCTTCCTCAACAAAAATCTCTTCAAAATCCATCCTTAGTCCTGGCCGTTCTAGGGAACCTTCATAAATCACTCTTTCTTCATCCCTTAGTAGAAGATTGATAAGTAATCCTCTGCCTTTTAATTGCATGCAAAGGAAGAACATGAGAGGGTTTGAGGGAGGCAGTGTAAAAGAGTGTTAGAGATAAAGTCAAATAATTTTATTTTTTATTTAATTAATTATTAACAAATTATTGTTAAAAAATTATTGATATTGATTTTTAGGAATCTATAAACTTTTAACTTTGTTTATTAATGAAATGGCATTTTGTGGTTGACTGACAATATCAAATGTAAACTTGTTTAATTTAGGTCACATACCTTACCAAAGTCCTCCACACAGCTGCACTCCTCTTACTTCTGCCAAAAAGATATATAAATAAATGAAGGAGGGGGAGAAAATAGATGACTGCTATCGATTGTTTTATCTGTTTAATCTGAGTACTTGGGCTTTACTTTGTTATCACTTACAGAGAAAATGAAAAGATGAAAATTGAGATGAGAAAAGTGAATAGGAAAATATTTTTTCTCTCTATTGGTGTGCAACTTGGAAAGATGAAAAATAATAGAAATGAAAAGTGAGGGAAAAAAATGAAAATGGTATTATTTTATCATTATATTCTCTCTAAGTGGAGATAAAAAAGATAACATCCAAAATACCCTTCATAACATTGAGTAACATCCCTCTAATTAGCTTTCCAATATGAAAACTTGATGTTTGTGAATATCAATGGAAAATGGCAAGAGGATTTATGTTCTTTTTCCTTTTCCACTCACCTCCTTGCTTTGAAACAAAGCCTTAATTCTACTAATACTGCACCATGACGTAACATTATTGCCCTTTTAACACACTTATGAATGCTAATGTTTGCGAATGCAATTGACCTGTACAGCCCTTTTCACTGTTTCCTGTGTTTACTGTTGCAGTCGGAGAGTGCACAGGGAGAAGCTGCTGCAAGTGCCATGGCTGGCAGAGGGCGTGGAGGTGGTTTCCGTGGCCGTGGACGAGGAATGAGGAGGCGATGAGCCTTCTACTTTTGTAACCCAAATTCTGTTAAGGTTGTCTATTCAAAATGACAGAAGATTTTTAGTTAATTAGGTTCTTTTGCCTGTATTCAGTTTTTGGTGTGGTGCAAATTGAACTATCATATGAAGCCTAAATTGTCAAGGTGCCTAGTCAGATGTGCCTTCTGGATAGCGGAAACTTTGCCTTGATTGATTGCCTTTTTCGTGAAATGTGGCTGCTCCTTTCGATTGCTGTAGGAGTTAAAACTTGTTTTTTAAATCTATTTCTCAAGAGGAATTTTTGTGAGGGCTGATTCCTTCTATAGGTACGATGATGAAATGCTATGGTTGCCAAGCAAAGGAAGCGGATGTGGGTGGTGTTATATGAATTGAACTTCAATGTATTGCAAGATTTCTTCATTTAGTCGTGAATTTTCCTGATGGTATTAATTTTAAAAATGAACAATTCACTTCTTTTTTCTTTTGGGTGTTTAGAAAGTGTATACATTAACAGTTTAACAATTACCCAGACCCAAAATCTAGCTTTTGACAGTGAATGGCATAAAGTTAACGAGGATCATTTGCCCCCAAAAGGTCCAATCTGAATGTTTCTCAAGTATGCTATATTTACCCACATCATGAGCTTATATTAGCTCGTGGTGAAGTTGGATGAAACGTGACCAGAGATCCTCAAATCCGGACGTAATTTTAATTTTTTTTTTTTTATGTGAAAGGAATTCAACAAAGATCTGACATTGGCGGTGTAATGCTCTCTTCTGTATTAACAAAGAATTTCGCCCATTTAAGACGTTAAAATATCTAAGCCTTGAAGGCAACACACACCTAACCCCAAGTGAACATGACCAAAATAGCCAGAATCCTTCAAATTTTATCAAAGTCAAGCACCGAAGCAAACGAAAGATGTAAAGGTAGTGTGGAATTTTGAGGCATTGACTAGAGTTTTATGCTTAGAAGAAGTCAAGGTGAAACTTATACCCATCTAGCATATGTATAAAAGTCATTCCATGCTTTTTTTTTTTCCTCTTTTCTCTTTAAGAGGAATAGCAGTCAAGTCAGATTATGTATAAAGAAAAATGACAATGTTGATCAAAGTCAAGTCAAAGTCAGCCAAGTCCCAACGAAATTGGATGGAAGTTTACGAGCCTGACTGATGATACTCAGCAAAAACAGGAAGAAAGAAAGAAAATACGCTCATCTAACTAACTTTGGATTCTACGTTGTTATTACCCCATTTCACACGTAAAGATTGTCTTGAAACCTTGCCAAGGAGGTTATAAATAGGCCACCAAAGCTGAGGAGATTGCATTCAGAAATGGAAAATAGAAAGGGAAATAGGTCAGTTGCCATGAGCAATTTTACCACAGCTAATGTTGTTATCCTTCTCATCATCTCTCTCGCATTCCTACCGGAGATCAGTGCAAGACGATATAGCCCAACCCCACTAGGGCCTCCACCACCACCGTATCCTACTTCCCATAAAACTCTGCCACCTCACCAACACAATACCCTGCCACCAAAACCAACGAAATATGAACAATATGGAGGAGGAGGCATGTATTACATACCTCCTAATCGCGACTAGAAAACTATCATGGTGCTAGCCAGCCAGGTATGTATGTCATATTGAGACCTTTATTTATGATACATAAGGTTTTCGCGTGCATAATTTAACTGTGTACAATTCTCTCTCTATTGCAGGAAATGTAAGGCTTGCCAAATAAAAAGCAGCTTAATCTTGTACCATGTATTAGAAGAAAGACTTGGGCCAATCATGCTGGTGTGAAGAAAATCTTCTCTTTATACGCTATCTATACTATTCAGTAATCAAAAAATAAAGCTACTCAAATAATTCGCAAGGCACTGTTAAGTTGAGTTTAAGGCATTCGTTTGATTTTGGTGATATTGCATTTGATTTTCGTCTTTGAGGGCTGCCATTAATTGTTTGACAAATGAATGGTTGACACGAAAATTGTCTATCACACCTATCCTTATAACGATTGTTCCAAAATTTGAACAATGGAGTGTATGTAAGGGTTTATTATTTCTCTACTGTTACTTTGGTTCAATGAAATATAATTTTCTCGAATTTTACATAAATTATGAATTAGGATAATAAATCTATAAAGAAACTTGGTTAAATAGTTAATGATGAATGGTGATAAGAACTAATTATCGTAGTCTTAATTTAGTCAAAACAAACCCATGACCCCTATCATAGCTGAATGCCATGGCACCACAAGCCATCCAAATTTCGTGCAGGCCTCATACAAATGCAAATTTTACCGAAAACGAAAGAAATGTGGCCATAGCTTGTGGGAGGGCTTGGCGGAAATAAATATTGGAACTGGATAGATGAACACAGAATACCTGAAGGGGGAAGATTTCCACCGAGCATGAATTAAACCTTTTCCTTACTCCTTATAACACCAAACAATTTTCGGATATGACATAAGGTCTCAATTGCTCCCTGTGTTACCAAATATTCAAACATCACAACCAAACAAGGACATAGGAATTACTCCAGAACCAAGCTCTCACGAATTTTCTCCAATCACCACACCACTCATAAACTCTTTTGTTTTGAGCTCACACATTCCAAAGAAAGGTGCACAACGTGAATTTTCAGAGATAAAATCAGCTAATTACTTGAAGAAGCACAATTATCACAAAGTCAACAGATAGTGTGCTTTTAATCATTTCAGTTTTCTTAGGTTAAGTTCGGAAAATTTTCCTCCATCAAACAGAAATAACAATTGAAATCGATAAAATTTAATAAAAAAAATTTATAATATGGACAAAGTTGATCAAAATGTAAATATTAAAAAATTGTGATTTGAAGTGAAAATAATTTACCTTAACTATCTTCTGCTTTTCTTTTTCATTCAAATTTCATTACACTGTTAAAAATAATATAACTGAAATATCTCCTGTGAAACCACCAAAGTCTAGCATCAGACAACCACAAGTATGAAACCTTGGAGTCAATAAAACTACAATTATGAAACCGCCAAAGCCTAGCATCAGATAACCACATGAATTTAACTACAGACTCAGGAGTCAAATACACCACAAATATAACAAGAAATAATCACTAACAGTCAAAACTGCAAAACATATGCAAACAGGAAGCAAAGGAGAGCAAAGGATAGTAGACTAATTAGCTTAATCAAACAAAGAAGGGAAGGCAAGCATACTGGGACACCAGGTTATGATTATACTTTCTCGAATTTTCATTCACCTATACCAGATGCCTTGTTGACACAACATTGACTTTCAATCAAACATGCAGACGCACCGGCAAATGATATAGAACCATTTAGTTTTAAGGTAGCAGCCTTGACCCATGTACAAAAATTGTAGCAATCACGAATTAGACATCAATTATAACTAGATATTGGCACATAGGATATTCCTTAAAGTAAAACACCCCACAATAGCTGCAATACTAGGGTCTTCCATACACCATAAAAAACCTATTTGCTGTAAAATCAGCTCTGTAATTATAGATAACCACAGCAACCTGATGTATGGGAAAGGGAAATCCCATAAGTACAATAAAAAACATCAGTCAAAATAACCTTTTTCCTGAAACCAGAATGAGGAAAAACATGAAGCAAACATAAGCACAGGCCACTAGTACAAGAAACCAAAGGTTTACTTTCACACGGAATGAGGAACAAAGTAGGAAATACTAGTCCGAAGAAGTCCCATCTTTCAAAACTAGCTTAACACAAGCAATGGTAACAATTTCTCGAAAGCTTAACACAAATTTAACAATGCTGCATGTTCAAAACGCACATCTACTAACTAGTAAAACTAATAATCCAATTGCAAGTAACAAAAGTAGAAGAGCTAAATTCCCAGTGGGCATTAAATCCAAACAAAAATTGATAACAGAAATATAGAATTAGTAACAGCAAAACCCAATAATATCTATGACAAAACAGATCCAATTTTTACCATAAAACAAAGCTTAAAACACTACATAAACCCAAAATCTTCAAAAATAATAATCCAGATCTCAAAACCTTAACTTTGTAAAAAACCACCTGTTTTTCCCAGTCTTAAACCTCTCCTCGAACTTCTCCTTGGTAGCCTTGCAAGCAGAGACTTTCTTGTCCTTGCTCTGGAGAGAGTCGACAGTCACCACGTCCTTCAAGTCCAAGTCAAGAGTGTAGCGCGTTGGCATCACGTGCTGGTAATTCACGAGCTTGAGGAAGCACTTGACGCGGGACTTCTTCGCTGTCTTCTTGGAAGAGTCCTTGCGGATGACCTTGCTCGGGTACTTCTTTAGCCCGGCAACCAAACAATGACCGTAAGGGCGGTCGCGGGTTCCATCGTCGAAGGATTTGACTATGACCGCCTTGCGACCGGCGTAGCGGCCCTGGAGGACGATGACAGCCTTGTTTGGCTTCAGGAACTTCACCATGACTGCTCCTCTCCGCTTTTGCTTTTTCACTCGGTTTTGTCCTCCCAAGAGCACAAGTGGGTTACAGACGGAGCGAAATGGGGTTTATATTTATCAACCAGAATGAAACCCTAGCTTCCCCCTTTTTTGACAAATTGATGGCCTTTTCATGTATATGAGCTTGGGCCGAAGTGTTTTTGGCCCTAAGATTTGATCTTTATCCAGGGTGAGTAATTATGCGGTTTGATCGGTTCGTCATACTTCATGATAAAATGAATTAAATATATTTTTTAAAATAGATTGAAACTGATTAAATATAAAAAAATATAAATTGACTGTAACATCAAATTAATTTGATCAATTTGATTTTGAATTAAAATGATTAATTTTTTTTATAAATTATAAACTATTAATATATTAATATATATAATTAATTTAATCTTTCAATCGGTTCAATCAAAAAATTTTAAAATAAAAAACCAATCAAATAAAATTAATTAAATCAAACTTTTTAGACCAATGAACTCAATAAGCCAACTCAAATAAACTATTTTACTCAAATCCCATTCAATTCGGTTGAATTATGGTTCTAATTCAATTTTACTCATTCTTATCTTTGTTGATTTGTGGTTAAAGGCTTAAACCTTACAAAATCAGTGTTTTCATTTTTCTCACAAAATATCTTTATTTAATATTTTTACAAATCTTTTAAATCTTATATCAAATTTTGAAAATTTAAAAGTAGAGTTTGACTTTAACCGTTTGGAGTGCAAGGACAAATATTTAAAAAAAAAAACTGAATATACATTGTGAAATTCCATACCATTGCCGACCCAAAATAAAAATTATTTTATTTATACTTATTTTGTGCTATAAGAAAGAATCACAACTCAATTTTGAAATCTTATTTGATCAAAATATTTTAAATTAATAAATTCAATCAAGTGCCATCGATAAACATATCATATTTTATTTCACTTTATTATAAAATTTGGGTTACTTAGTTACATCGTGCATGGTACGAAAATTTGACTCTGGTACAGAAAAGGAAAGAAATTAAAGAAAAAGATTTTAAAAAAAACAGACAAGACACGTACATGCACTCTTCATTCTCAGGTGGATGCGCACATTGATTTCCGTGCGCTCACGCGGCGCACATTAGCACTCAAAAAACCCAAAAAGAAAAACTGGAAAAGAAAAGCTTCTCTTTGTCTTCTCTTTTCTGATTTCCCCCGCGAGACCAGAAGCACAATTTTCATTTCCATTTCTCCAAATTCCTGTGGTGCCCCCAATTATTCCAAATAATTCCTCGTCAACATCCAGAAAATGGCTCCAGCCACCACCGTGGCGGCGGCGGCGGCGGCTCGGGGTCTCGTCGGCTCGCGGCGCCGAACGGAGGCACCGCCACGACGTCCGTCCCCGTCGCCGCCGCCTAGGAAGCTGAGGCTGGTGACAGAGATAATGGCGCGTGCGAGATATGCGGTGGTGGAGCGAGGTGACTATAGTGACGTCGGCTGCGAACAATGCGGCTCCGGTGAACGTCCCGACGAGCTTCTCCTGTGTGATAAATGCGATAAAGGCTTCCACATGAAATGCCTTAGACCGATCGTGGCTCGTGTTCCTATTGGGTCCTGGCTTTGCCCCAAATGCTCTGGTCATAGGCGAGTAAGAAGTAGGGATTTTCATTTGATTTATGTATTTATTTCTTTGTTTTGTGACATTTTTTTTTCATTTTTCTGATAAATGTGGTTGGTTTTTTTTTCTGTTTTAGGTTTTTCGCAGAAAAAGATAATTGATTTCTTTAGGATTCAGAAGAGTTGTGATGGAAAAAAGAAATTCACGTCGAATCAAGGTAATTTTTGGTTGAATGCAATATTTTAATTGTGATCATTTGCTAATAAAATTCTCTTTAATTTTCGTGTTTCATGTTCAATTCCTGTTGGTTGAGAATGGCTATTAAATTTGATTTTAGTAATAATAGTTTTACCTTGTTTCAGGCTCCATGCAAAATTTACAATCAAAATTAGTGTAATGCAATTTAAGGGAAACAATCAGGGTCAAAAAAGTATGCATAAGATTATAATAGATGAAATGAGAATATTGGATCACTTAAGGGTGTTGAATATTTTGAGAAAATAATGATATTGCAGATATGATCATGGGCGATTTAATCAAGCACATTTAGTAGTAATGTGAGTATTGATGGAAAATGCTTAAAATTTAGGAGCTATCCAGAGCCTTGCTTTAATGGCAAAGTGCTGGTATCCTACTTGTGAACAGCACATAAAATTATAGTGAAATCTAATGTTTAAGCTGGCTCCCTACCATATATGAAACTTGGTTAAATACTTGGAAATATTGTAGTATAATTATTGATTATTGACATTTGACTCATATAAATTTTATCTAATTCTATAATGTAACCAAAGCCTAATTATTAGACATGAAAAATAATTTGTAACAGTGGACTATAAGTCCTAAGAGGTGGACTATTGCACATAATTTATAGTACCCGGCCTAAAAAACTGCATATGTATGATAACTTTTTTCCACAATTTGATTCATGACTTTGCATGCCTTTTTTTTTTGGCAATGTACATGTATTTTTATTGAATTATAGACTCACAGAATGGAGTCATATATGCATATAGTGCTCGATGTTCATGGTTAAGTTATAATTTGACCTAGCTAATGCTATTGTGTGAGAAGAACTCATAAGTACTTTTATGCCTGCATGTCTGAGTTAAAATTCATTATAGACATCTAATGTCTATATAGGTTACATTTTAATTGACAATTGAGAAGAAAATCATCACCTGGTTGTAACATATGACTACACTATTAAATGTCAGACATATATCTAATGCTTGCAGGCATTTTTCTTATGGCATCAACTGCTATTCTTAAATACTATTTACTTTTTTGACGTATTTCATTGATTTTACATGTAGAGTGCAAATTTAGAAAGCATATATCATGGATTAAGAAAAGAATTCTGGCAAGGGTATCATCATAGAGCACCTCCCAATTGTTTTCTTGTAGAAATTTTCCTTGGCTCATTGGACTATGAGCTCCCTTCACTTTTTGTTCCAAGCTAAATTGTCTAATGGTTCATTGACTTGATGTCACTCAGTTTTCATTTCAATTTCATGTAATTTCTGGTCTCTATTCTCTTCTCTCTCAAAGATGATTTTTAGAAGGGTCAATTGTTGGAAAATCTGTTTCTTTCCCACTCTTATTTAATTGGGATTGCTCTTGCAACTACCACTATCCTTCCTAGCTTCCTCACCTTTTGACAATTAACATGCTATGCAAATGCTTTTAGCAGTGAAGTTTATGACTTATAAAGCTAGATCAAAAGTGAGAACAAAATTCATACATTAGGTACATTTTGAAAGGAATAAATATTTATCAAGTGTACAGGATTTTTGTCTTTGTAGCTTCTGCAATCCTTTTTTCCCCATAAAAATTCTCACTTTTTGGCAGGGTATATTCAGGAAAATTGTTTGCTCCATTATGCTGAAACAGATTTAACAGATTCCAGAATGGAGCATCCTGTACCTTCTATGAGTGCAGCACGTGCGAGAAGCTTGCGGCTATAAAATATGACCTATCTGTTTCCACAGTGATTTCCTTATTAACATATAAAATCCACATAAATGAGTTTTTTTGAAATGAAATGTTATCTAGAGGGAATATCCTTAAATTTCTAAAACTCAAATGTTCATGATCATTTTCTGGTGCATAATACTGAAAATGTTCATCATCAATAGCACTGGGTATATGGTATATAGTGGTTTGAAAATATGGAATATATCAATAGAAATACAATAAAAGAATTTCAAGGGTTTTGACTTACATTTATCCTTCTATTAGCATCAATTAGCATAGTATAAGTTATAAGCTCAAAATGATTTTTTTTTTTTGTGTAAAAATTGTTAATATTCTGGAATACATAAAAGAGTTGGAGGTACAAGCCAGTAAATACAAAAGTAAAACAATATTATTGAAAATTTAATTACCAACATTTTTTGTCAGGGTTCTCTTGGAGATATCTTGGAGATATGATAGGAAGGAATTAGTAAGAAGTAATACCAATTAATTGTTCTAACTTTTTAAACCAGTGGTACTTCATCTCACAAGGCTGGAGTTTGTCAACTGGAACAAATGTCAGAATCTGATAGTATAGCTATGTATGACAATATTAATTTTCCAAGGTGATTAGTTAAGTTTTTAAATGTATACATTGGTTCATTGCTTAAAGGCAAAAACTTCTGCAATAGTAAAACTAGGGAGTTTGTCAAGTGGATTTCCCTCTCATGCACGGGATACCAATGAATGCAGAAATAATTAGAAGCATTGTCTTTCAAGTTGATGATGTTAGATGTACAAAGGAAGATCAAAGGATAAGTTACAGAACAGGGTACTGTGTATTTTAATCACACTACATCCATCCTTTGTGGGCTTTTATACACATAAACAAACTTGCATTTGGTGCTGAGAGCATGAGATATGTGGCACATATTGGCCAAGCTTTCTTGATGACCATCATCTTGCCTTTAGTTGACCAACATAAACTGAGTTTTTTTTTTTTTTGTGGCCATTATCTTGCCCTTAGTTGACAAACATAAACTGATTTGCTTACTTGGTTCTTCTGGCTGGACTACTAGATATGAGAAAGCGTCGCAGACGTTCTAGATCATTGGTGTTGCTAAAGAAAAGAAGGAGACTCTTGCCATTTATACCATCTGAAGATCCTAACCAACGTTTGAATCAGATGGGTACCCTTGCTTCAGCATTAACAGCATTGCAGATGGAATTCAGTGATGATCTAACCTACTCTCCTGGCATGGCCCCTAGATCTGCCAATCAGGCCAAGTTTGAAAATGGTGGCATGCAGGTCTGAATTTCAATGATTGTTTTTGTTCTAGAAGTTTTGATTCTCTTATGTTCCTTATTAGCTTTGGTATGTTGTTCTTCTTCCAGGTTCTGTCGAAGGAAGATATGGAGACCTTGGAACTCTGCAGAGAAATGAGTAGGAGTGGCGAATGCCCTCCTCTTATAGTAGTTTTTGATTCATGTGAAGGGTACCTCCATTTTGAGATAATTTGTACTGTTGTAGATATATTATGTAACTGTATATTTAGTGTATTCATTTTAATTATGTCGTGCAGTTATACGGTAGAAGCAGATGGACAGATAAAGGATATGACATTCATTGCGGAATACACAGGGGATGTGGATTACATTAAAAACCGTGAAAATGATGATTGTGATAGCTTGATGACCCTTCTTTTAGCAACAGACTCATCTAAAAGCCTTGTAATCTGCCCTGATAAACGTGGAAACATTGCTCGCTTTATCAATGGCATTAACAATCATACTCTGTAAGCCTGTATAACCTATCTCTTAGTGTCAATGCTGTGTCATATGGCATTGACAGTCTCTTTTCTGTTTTTCTTAACTTCTCATTTGGCATTGGCAGCCTATTTTCTCTACTCCTCTGCATGAGTTATAGAATAGCATAGTCTCTAATTAACTGTGTCCCATGTGTTTTCTGTCTTGTAAGGTTTGCTTCGAGTTGAGAACACTTAGTGCATGTGCTTAAAACAATGTCCAATTTTGTGCAGGGAAGGCAAGAAGAAGCAGAATTGTAAATGTGTGAGGTACAGTGTAAATGGTGAATGCCGGGTCCTTTTGGTTGCTACTCGTGATATTGCTAAGGGAGAGAGGCTTTATTACGATTATAATGGATATGAGCATGAATACCCTACTCATCATTTTGTCTGAATAATGGAACCGATGTTACTAACAATCCTACAGAGCTGGGATGCAATTTTGGATCCTCATAGATCATCTTCTTTCAGTCATTTTTATTTTTTTATTTCACAGCTTACTCATTGCTGGTGCAGAGTCAAAGAAATTTCTTCAAATTTGTCGATGCCATTTTATTATAATTTATGATGCAACGCTGGCCCCTTTTGCAGCCATTAGCGAAAGACAGCAGGGAAGAAAATTTTTTCCTTGGAATTTAGATGTTGTAGAAATTTATTTAAGAAACAGTATCTTCTTGTAATACAGGTCTCAATTAAGGTCTTTTTAATTTTATCCAATCACTGTCATTCTACAGCTTTAAAATAGAATTATTCGCTGGACTGCTAGAGAGCATTTTCCTGTAGTCATTCATCTTTCTCTATAGCTTCAAATGTCTTTGTAATTAACAAAGTTGACATTTACGTTGGTCTTTGCGATGTATTCCCACCTTAAAAGATGGGAGTGAAAACACTAGAGTAATAGCTTAGCCGCAGCCAGCAGCATTGGCAATGATTACAGCTGTGGGGCATTAGGATATTCTTCTTCCTCAAGGATTCGTAGCTCTCTTTGAGATCGATGCTAAGAACGAAGGTGGAACAGAAAGCATTTGCTTTTCTCCTGGAGCTCTTGTGAGTCCATCAGTTGAAAGAAGCAGTGGCCTTTTCCTTCAATTCTTTCATTACCTGAGCCTCCCACTCTTTGGAAGGAGAGTTTGATATGTGCGACTCAATCGGCATTCCGCAGTCCTTGTGAGATTTCCAAACCATTTACACTTGAGTTGGTAAAAAATTTGTAGTTTATTCTTAAAATTCTGTTAGGAGTCAGAAAAGAAGCACAGCTCTCCTCCATGATCATGTCTCTGAATTTTTCTTTTTTCGGTTTTTGCAAATATGATGTCGGATTATATTTAATTTCAATTTCATAAACTCTAACTCTGAATGTCTCAAGATTTAATCCAAAACTTTTCAAATATAGAGTCTCATGTTATAAACATCAAGCTCAGCCCTGTTCTATTGGAGACGAGATTGTTACGTAGTAATTGGTATATACGAGGAGAGTTTTGTCCGTACAATTTTGTAGTCTTTTAAAGGAGGATGAGTGTTAGAGCCATTGTTCCTTTTGAGCGAATGATGGCGTCTCCCATTTGGCCGCCGCTATAAGTCCGTAGCAATTAAATCTTAAATCTCACAAAGATATTAGTACAAGAATTTATGCATCAAATCTCATCTGATTTAACTTAGATTCTGTCGCAGTTATGTTTCAGTAGCTATTACGATTTGCCTTTCCCACCAACCTTTTACTTTTTCTTTTCGGATGATCATCCTCCTAATTGAAACTCGTATATGCTTGGGAGGACAACTTTCCTAAGGTTTTTTTTTTTTGGTTTACTTTTTCTTTTATACTTTTAAAGTCAATATGAATTCCCTTTTCCCAAGCTATCTCCAAAATACATTAAAAAACCCAAAGGAAGTCTCATTTACAAAAATAAAAAAGATTATTGCAATAAACATTGCAAGATATTTTCAAACATAACAAAATTCTTAGACAAGTCACATTTAAAATGAGTTTCAACCCTTTGTTTGACCCTTTTCTTATGTTTTTTCTTGTAAACAATTGAGTTAGAAAGCTTAAGGTGGCGTTTGGTACATTACAATGCAATGTGATTACAGGTAATGTGATTGCAAGCCATGGTGTTACAGGAAAAATAACATTACAGTGTTGGTATGTAAAGTAAAATAATGATTAAAATGCAGGGAAGAATAACATTGCAGTGTTTGGTTTACAAGTATTTTAGTGGGAATGTAATGCTAATTGTCAAAATTACCCCTAATTATTTAAATATAAGTTTAATATATTTATATTTTTTATTATTAATTTTTATTAATATCATTTCTAAATATATTTAAATTATATAATATTATATATTATTTATATTAATATTTATATTAATATTTACAATAATAATATTTTATATTTTATTTTTATTTAATTATTATATTACTTTATTTCATTTTATAATATTTTTATAATATTTATTAATATATAATAATTTCTTAATATATTATTAATTTATTATAATCTATTATAATTATATAAATATATTTATGTATATATTTTATATTTTATATTTACTAATTTATTATAAATTATAATTATTTATATATTTATAATTTTTATATAATATCATTTCTAAATTATATTTTTATTCATATATATTTTAATTTATTATATTATTATATTTATATATTTTATTTTCATTTCTTAATATATTTTTTATTTTATATTTTATTTTAATTTGTTTTATCTATATTATATAAATATTAATTTTTTATATTTTGTTTTATTTTAATTTTTATTCTTATATTATATATTTATTTTAATTATAATATTATAAAATATTTAATAAGATAATAAAGTTGAAGGGTAAATTATCTTTAGAATATTGTAGAGTGCAATGTAATGTGATTGCATTAGTTTTGGACTGCAATCACATTACATCCATTGGCTGCAATGTGATTGCATTGCAATTACTTACATTGCAGTGATCTGTTACAAAACAAACACTACAATGTAATTTAATAAACCACATTATAAGAAATATGACTTACATCCCTGATATCAAACATCACCTAAGTGTTTTGATGCCCCTTAGCCTCTCTAATAAAGTAAAGTAGTCACCAACAAAATGTAAGAGAAAGAAAAAGGATTGGCCTACACACCTTTCAAAGTCTTGACAAAGCTATAGCTTTGGTCCCTATAATAAGGATGTCTAAGGGCCTTTGGTCCAACTAGGATTTTCCTACTGTTTTCAAACCTCTAACTTTAAGGTAGCTTCTGGAAGCAAATGGACAACATTTTTAAGTGTCATTTTCAACTTCGCACTCTTTTCGTGCAAGCACAAGATAAGGATATCCTCCTATTTTATTCCCATTTCCCAATCCTCCTTTGAATTTTAAGCCCCCATTATTTTTTACCACATTCGTATTAACACTTTGTGCCACTGCCAGGCTGCTAAGCTCTTATATAAGTTATAATGACTTCATCTATCATCATGAAGTTGTAATCTCCACCGCCATGACGGAGTCCGAAACTGAAAATAAAAACCATATTCCCCTTCAAAGGCATCAACACAGAGAAGTAGACAGGCAGCAGATGGGTAGCTTGAAAGAGGAAGAGCTGGTACAAATGGTTCAAGACTACATAGAATCAGAATCACCTACATCCATCTTTCCTCCTTTCTCAAACCTCCACCTTCCTTCTTTTAACCATCTATCTAAACGTTCTTCTTTACAGGTAAATAATATGTAGCTTGTTTCACATATAATATGCATAATTCTGGAATGTTTTGGTGAATTTGGTTTTGGTTTCTGTGTCCAAGTGTGTTCCTGATGTGATTATTTGGATTATTATTGTATCTTTGTAGGAGATTCTTAGGAGTGGGACAGAAACTGAGAGGGAGATTCTTGAGCATGTATTGAAGCATATTAAAGGCAAAAGGGATGTCCACAAAACGACTGGTTTGAAGAAGTGGCTTGCCATGAGGCTCAAAAGGAATGGCTTTAATTCTTCTTTATGTCAAACTTCTTGGGTTACTTCCTTAGGATGTCCTGGTGGTGAGTTTCTCTCTCTGTCTCTCTCTCTCTCTTACCACTTATCTTGACAGTAAAAATTTCCCCCATTTCTTTTCTAGGAATAGGAATAAAATTCTTTACTTCCCAATACAGGATTGATTTATGCTTCCTCAGTTCTTTGTATCTCTTCTAAATTAGCTCTTTCATATTCATTGATTAAACAGGTGATTACGAATACATTGACATCGTAGTGGAGAATGAGAATGGTACTGACACGGTAAGGCTCATAGTCGACATAGATTTCAACTCCCAATTTGAACTTGCAAGGCCCACACCAACCTACAAAGAGTTAACAGATGCTCTCCCGTCCATCTTCGTAGGAAGTGAAGAGAAGCTCAACAAGATTATCTCAGTGCTTTGCTCAGCTGCCAAACAATCCCTTAAGGAGGCAGGACTCCATGTACCACCGTGGAGGACCAGCACCTACATGAAGTCTAAATGGCTCTCAGGCGGTCATAAAGTTGGTGCAAATAATGCTGGTTTGGGCAGAGAAAATAAGGCAGCAGAAACAAAAGGTGGAGCACATAGTTTTAGCAAATGGGCACCTCCAATGGTAAAGGCTAAAAGAAGGGATTTGGGTGAGGGTGGGTCTGCCTTGTCTAGTCAGTTTTCTAGCATGGGCATAAACTGTTGCTAATAATCACAGATTGCTTTGGCTTCCAACTTTTGGCAGAGAGATTCTCCAATTTTGGTCATCTTCCTAAGTGTACTCTTATGTTATCTAAGAATTGGATCTTTTGTTTGTACTAAAAGATCGGCAATGAGATTGACATCACCAACGTTGTTCCATTGTCTTTTAGTGCTTTTCTTTTCTCATTTTTGTAGCGGGCAACGCTGAAAAACTGTAATCAATATCCGACTAACCCACCACATTCGAATCTATATATCCCTTTGGCTATATATATACAGTTTCCTTAATTTCTTGAATACCAAAAATGTTAAAATTTTCAGAAAAAAATATTGATAATTAATAAAGTCAGGGCTGTACAATATATTTTTATGTGGAAAATAAGTAAATCCTCCAGAAAGTAAGTCTTGGAAAAAGGCGAATCCTTGTGTCCCTTGTATTAAAACGAAAACGAAAGAAGAAACAATTATGACAGAATTTTCATTGTTCAATTTATAAATAGTAATTTTTTAACTAATGTTTTACACATTATTGGTCTTTTCACTAAATTCATAATTGGTGAATAAAGCTCATTTATAATCTATTTTTATATATTTTTTTTTTCATAACAATACATTATTCATTCAAATGGAATAAAAGAGATGTAATTTATGTGATGGTAATTTTCTTTCCTTGTATTGCTCAAAGTTTTAAGGGATTCTTATGGTAATTTATGTTTGCATGCACCACGACAATGGCTTGGAGAGTTAAGACATAATGATGAATGGTGCTTAATTAGCTGCTTGCCTACATTGTTGCCAACCAATCTTAACCAAGAAACGTTCCATTTTTGTCACTCTATGTAGCTACCTACACACAAATGCATGGTTACAAAATAGGAGCGGATAGAAGATTTTTTTAAAAAATAATTTCATAATTAAAATAAAAATAATTCTAAAAAATTAATAAATTTATTAATATTATTAATTACATAAAACTCTAATATAAATAATATAATTAATAGAGATTTTTAGCAAATACAATTCTTACGGTCCATGAAGAAGTAGAAAGAAAAATGAAGACATGTACTCATCTTTCAACTTTGTGCACAAAGTTTATAATTTTCT